AATCCGTATCGAAAAAGCGGACTAGAGCTACTTGGCGTTGGTTGATCAAGCCCCCGTTTCTTTCTTCTTCCGCTCCATTCGAAGGCGCGCATCTCTTGAAAGGCCTCACGAGTCTCAAGGGTTCCACTCTTGCTCGGGATTGATTTAAAAAAGAGATTGATCTCCTCAGTAATTTCTTCTCTTTGTCTTTCTAAAGAGAGAGACCTCCCTTGGACACAAAGGTGAACCTCTGTTTCCCCACTGACTAAGCGCAGTTCCGCCTTTTCGACTATCACATGCTTCTGTCGTCACATTCCGTCTCAACAGTTTTCACTCACTCAACACCTTTGTAAAGTGGCATACCATGGATCAAGGCCTTTCAACAGGGGCCCATCAAGATTTTGATGGACTACGTGAGAGAAACACACGCGTCGATTCAACAGTCGGTCGCGAGGCTTTACCAGCCGTTGGCGAAGTGGAGATTGAAGACAAAGATGGCAAAAAATCGAAGACCTTTGGGAGAACTCCCGATGGAACAGGTAAGCTTGTTCTGTGTTAGTTACGTTTAGAATTGAATAGAGGACTTAATTGGATGCACCAAAACCCTCCGTATCTTGTCAAGAGCCCGCTGCTAACCGGGTTCGATGCATGTTCATAGTGTTTACAGTTCCCCAGACTCATGACATGGTCTCCCAATTGCTTTTGCCTTCCGAACCAAAGAATTATGGTGATCTTGTGGTGTTGATTCTATTGGCGGGTCATATTTGGTTTCTCTGGGCACTCCCCGCAGGCGCCAAAATCCCGGTCTTTGCGGTCACCTACCTCTTCTGGCGCTTGGCTTACAATGCAGGAATCGGGTGGCTGCTTCACAATCAGTCGCACCACAAGACACTAATTCGATGGGCAGAGAAGACCAAAGTCTTTGTCAACCCAGCCACTGGGGAAAACCCCCACCCTAAATTGTATAATTGGATCAAGCGGGAACTGGAGACTAAGATCCCGCAGGATTACTCGTTCGACAATGCTCCAATTGAATACAACACCTGGCTTGTCTTTAGACGTCTGGTGGACTTGATTCTCATGTGTGACTTCACTTCTTACTGCCTTTTCGCGATAGCTTGTGGCCACCAACCCGTTGATGAGAGTGTGCTCATGACTGTCCTCCGGTGGTCCGCAGGTATTGTGTTAGTGCTGTTTAACCTCTGGGTCAAACTAGATGCGCATCGAGTGGTCAAGGACTATGCCTGGTATTGGGGTGATTTTTTCTACCTGATTGACCAAGAATTGACTTTCGACGGCGTGTTCGAAATGGCACCTCATCCCATGTACTCGGTTGGCTATGCGGGCTACTACGGAATCTCCCTTATGGCAGCCAGCTATAAAGTGCTGCTCATCTCGATCATTGCCCATGCAGCACAATTCATTTTCCTCGTTCTTGTGGAGAATCCACACATTGACAAAACTTATAATCCGCCACCACCCAGAAAGCGCTCACCTGCCTGTGTGGATTCTTCTTCCAACTTGCCCACCGATCTAGACACTCCGACAGCGCCAACTCCGTCTGAAGACCAGGCTCCCAACGCGACATTTTCGTATTCGGCCAAGCCGCCGCAGTCCGTGCACAACCTCTTGGGATTGCACAACTTGGATTTGTATAGAACCACGGATTCATCGATTGTGCTGGTTCAGCTTCTTGTATTCTCTATCACAACTTTGACACCGTCTACACCGGGGTATCAGTTGCTGTTTGTGGTCATTGCTGCTGCTTCCAGAATCTGGTATTCCGTAGGCGTTGGGTGTATCCTTCGGAACCAATCCAACACCAAGTCTTGGACAAGGCACTTCGTCAAGTATGGCGACACGCCGCAGGAAGCGTGGAACCAATGGAAGGGCACCTACCATCTCAGCATGGTCTTGTGTTACTCTAGCTTCATAGCTGCCGTGTGGAAGATGTACACACTCCCGGCCGATTGGGGATATGGCCTGGTTCTGTTCCGACATGTGCTCGGAGCTGGCCTGATCAGTCTGCAAATTTGGACTTCGGTCAGCATCTACGAGTCTCTCGGTGAATTTGGCTGGTTCTACGGGGATTTCTTCTTTGACGACTCACCCAAGCTCACCTATAATGGCATTTACCGCTTTCTCAACAACCCAGAGCGCGTTCTAGGCCTTGCAGGCGTGTGGGGTGCTGTTCTCATCACCAGTAGCGGAGCTGTCACTTTCCTCGCATTGCTGAGCCACATCCTTAGTCTGGCTTTCATTCAATTCGTCGAACGTCCTCATATGCAGAAGCTGTACGGTCGTAGTCTTCGCCAGGATGCGGGTCTCGTTAAGAGTCTGAAGCGGTCCCTGCCACCCTCTCTCAAGCACTTGCACGGAAGTGTGGACAAGATGTTCGACGACTCCTTCGAGTTCATTGAGGAGATGCTTGACAACGCCCGACCCAAACTCGCCGCGGGTGTCAACACTTTTGTTAAAGATACGACTGCGCTCTTCCAAAAGTACCCCGCTCGCGTCACCATTTCCCGAATTGATGCGGACCTGGCTGGATTCGATGTCCGCGATTATTCTCTATCCGTGGAAGGTACGAATGCTCTGCCATTCGAGGAGAGCGAAAAGAACAAGGGCCGTGAAGGTGTAAACGCGCGTATGCCCTTGGACCGCCGTGGTGATCTAAAGGACTTGACATTTGAATACGGCTCCCCGATCAAGGTCAAATGGACTGCCCCGCTCCACCACAGCAAGAAGGATTGGATTGGTCTTTACCGGGTCACAGACAACACATCACGAGAGGTCACTCGTGTATCATCGCAAGGCCGCTGGGTCGCAACCAATGAAGGCGCTTATGACAACTCGACCTGTGAAAAGGGGATCCTTACTAGTGATGTTGTTATCCCATCGACCGAGCGTCACGGCCAGGAGCCCTGCGAGTTCGCATCTGGCGAGATTCTTCTTTCTGGCGACAAGCTCTTCTGGACCCAGGGTGTCTTTGAACTTCGCTATCATCACAACGGCATGCACAATGTCATGGCTATCTCGAGACCATTTGAGATTCGCATTCGCCGGTCGGATGAGGATGAAACTATTGCCAATGTGGATTCTCTCGTGGAACCGGCTGTTGAGAATGCTCTGTTGCCCGTCGTTCGTAACTGTTTCGATCGTGATCCTGAAATCGCTCCGGAGACTGTTGATGAGCAGTTTGGTAGCCTTGTGGAACGGGATGGCAAGTTTGCCAAGCGAGTCGTCTTTGCTGTTCATCAGATGTGAGTTCCCTTTCTTGATGGTCCTTCCGATTCTATCTCAGATCTGACTCCTTCGCCACGCAGGTTCGGTATCGAGTTAGCCCCTGAGGTTGTGAAAGCTGATGGCAACGTGCGGAATCTGGCTTGGAGAATCTGCAATGCTAAGAAAGTACTCGTACGTATCAAAATGCTGACTGGAGTTTGATGATCGGATCAACGCTAACTTGTCAATGATGCAGGCTCCCTATAGCATGTCAAGATCCAATGGAACGACGACACCGCTTGAGGAGAGCAAAGAATGATTCCTCGAGGCAGATTCACGATATGTCCAACCCAGTCATACATACATTTATGATGGCAAGAAATGACCTGGGTTGAACGACACATGTCAAGTGGATTTGGCCCTCGCCGATTGATGCTTGACAGCAAAAACAAAATCAAAATCACCAAGAAAGAAAGATGTCACAATTCAGAAAAATCATGTTCTGAAGAAAAGAGGAGTTGTCCTGTTTTACTTTTCTTTGCTTTGCGCGTAGTTGACCATGCGAGATTCAAGGTACGGAGTAATAATTCCCATGATGGTTTTGTTTCGATTTCCAGGGTTGGGTGGCAGTGGTGATTTTCATGTGTCTTGACTTTGGGGGACGTTTTGGCTATAGGCCGATTACATTTTTTTATTTACTTCGTCGTACATAGCTTTATGAGAAATCGATTTCTTAAATTGTGCTGATTGACTTTGTGTTCCAGGCCTTTTGGGAGAATGACTCGTAAACGTGCCATCTTCATCCGGGCTTGTATGATTCTTAGTTCGAGAGGACTACCAAGTACCTACAACCCAAGGGCTTTCAAAGCAAACTAAACCATCTTCTCCCACCTTTCTATCAGTTATACGTCCCACAGAGATGCAGCTTCCCCATCCAGCCAAGAGCTAGTCAAGCGTCCTCATCAGATTAACATTCAAGCTCGATCTCTACACGTACGTACTACTCCGTACAAACAGGTTCATTGTGATGCAACAGTGTGATTTTATGCAGACATGATCAATTACATATTTAATTATATCATGGTACTCTCATGTGCAGACCTAGGTAAAGCTTGGAATGCTGTCAGCAAAAGTCCAAAAGACCCGGAGGATCAAAGCAAGCACGATTAGCTCCACGATTGTAAGCAAAAGTGGGAGCATATAAAAGTATTCAGTCAAGCCGGTTAACTCATCCCATCCCCTGTTGGCCCCTCGCACCAAACTGTCACCCAAGACGGATAAGCAGCTCAGCATTAGGAAACCAACACAAGCCAAGTATAGCAGTACCATGCCGCGGACAAGACAACAATGCAAAGAACGGAATCAGACATCGACGAGCCCAAAGCCTCCAGGCTCCACAACCTTCCTCCCGTTCACACCCGAAGGCACAAGGGTCTGGTATAAGGGATGTGGAAAACATTGGATCGACGCCTGTATTCCTCACAATGCCGTACGGCTTGGGTGCAACCTGAGGGGCGGTCCTCAGAGAGGTCGTTGAATGGATAGACTGGTTGTCATCATAATAACTGGGGGGGAACATGAAGTGCAAAGTAAGACAACGATGTACCTTTTAAATAGATGAGACAGAGCATCAATGCCATGGATTACAGCTAGATCTTTTGACTTGTCAGCATGCATGTCACTGACAGGATTATTGAAAGACATTGATAATGACTCAAGGAGGATCAGGAGTTTTTGGTAAGGTATTTTGTTATCTTCAAAAATTTTGCAGAAGCAGAACTGAAAATGTTTTCTCATCACAAAGAGTGCAGATGGCAAAGGCAAAAGGATAGGTGTTGTCTTACCATTAGTTTCGGATTTTCATGTGGCCTCCCAGTGTGCTCTAAAACAAGCACAGAGATGGCTTTTCTTCCTGTCTTTAAACTAACTGTTAGTTCCAGATGAATAGCAGTGGAATGTTGCAAAACAATATTGAAGTGATTGTCATTATCAGATGGTGATGCATGTTTGTTCATGGCCCATTTTTCGTCGCCAAACAGGAGTTGGAACTCTCTCGATCATGTAGACAGGGTTGGAGGGATTGAAGGGCACTCACATGTAGCAAGTTAGTTGTGGATTTGGTGGTAAGATATCAACTACCATCAAAAGTCAACTCCATTGACATTGAATGGAGTTTTCCCGATTAGAGGATGTGTGTGGAAAAGAGAGAGGAAGGGGAAGAGCAAAAAATTGAAGAAAAGTCGCCAAACGGCGCTAAGCGGTGGGGCCTCCAAACAGTGCAAACTCCCAAGATTTCCGTTTCTGGGACTTGCAACCATTGCGATCTCTCTACAGCTTCAGTGTTGCGTCGAATTACCTAAAATGGCTGATAGAAGACGTATCAATGGGCCACCTGGTGGTACAAGACCCCCAGTCTTTGCATCCCTTCAAGAATCCTCGACAGGCGTTGCAAATCGCGCCCAGCGCCAGCGCCAACCCACCGAATTACGGAAAATCTGTATGAATCGCCGGCAAGCTTCTTATTGATCACAGCTAACCTTCAATGCTCTAGTTCTCAAAACAGGATTGATTCCAACTGCCTCAGGCTCTTCATACCTTGAATTTGAACCATCCGCTTCCCTCGCCGCCGCCCGCTCCAACCCCAAATCTCTGATCCCACCCTCCTCAGCACTGAAGCTGGCTTGTACTGTCCACGGACCAAAGCCACTCCCCCGCTCTGCTGCATTCTCACCGAACCTTGTTCTCACCACTCATGTCAAGTATGCGCCATTTGCCGCCCGCAAGCGGAAAGGACATATCCGTGATGCCAGCGAGCGTGACCTTGGTGTACATCTAGAGACCGCCCTCCGTGGCGCAATCATTGCCGACCGCTGGCCCAAGAGTGGTCTGGATATCACTCTTACAATCATTGAAGCAGAAGACGACCGTTGGTGGGGCGATGCCCCAGACTCACACGATGCGTCATGGGGAATGATGAACGTTCTCGCCGGGTGTATCACAGCGGCTTCTGCTGCCATTGCAGATGCCCACATTGACTGTCTTGATCTTGTATCTGGTGGTGTCGCTGCTCTGGTTTCAGATGACCCAGATCAGTCCGCATCATCTGCCCCGCGACTCATGCTTGACATTGATCCCGCGGAACATCGATCGATTCTGTCGGCTTGTGTGGTGGCATACATGCCGGCGCGCGATGAGATTACTGAACTCTGGCTCAAGGGTGATAGTTCAAGGGCGGCTCTTGAAAAGGACGACGGGCGTACGGGCCATGAAGCGTTGATTGACGGCGCTGTGGATGCGGCTCGTGGCGCTAACACTGTCTTGGCTGAGGCTGTGAGGGAATCTATTGCCAGGTCTTTTGCTTCAGTCTAAAGATAGTCACACCCCATAACGATTGAATGAAGTTTACTCCGTACAGGATCTATCTGATGTAGTATCAAAGCTGGTTTTGGTGAATCGGTTGAAAGCTCAATTTGAAGCCGTGTCACAGGACTAGATGGTGCCCTAAAAAGCAAGATGTAGCATTTGGCCCTAGGTGCAGCCAGCATCACCACCCTTTGACAACGTTCGTGATGTCTGCCGTGACCGCAATCCCTTCATATAACTCACCTCTGCCGCCTATTTGTATCTCTTATGACTCGTCTATTGTTTTGCTAGAAACAAAAAACTTGTCGGACATGAACCCTTGGCTTCCTGGGCTGTGCAAAAGGTGGAGTGAGGGGCTTTTGATGATCAGGACCCCTTTGACTACGTATACCACACATAATGCCAAGCACACAGAATGAAACATTTGGTGGCTTTTATCTCTTCAGCAATGTGTCACACCGATACGTACACAACAAACAAAAGGGGGTTCTGCACTCGGGTCAGAATAATCAATGTTGTAGTAAAATGCTTGGCAGCCCTCGACCTTCAAGACTGGCTGTGAAGTGCTTTGCTTCTCAAAACGCCAACAAGTGGAGAAGTCCAACTACCGGGTACGGGTGGACTGCTTCTCATATCACCAGGCAATCTATTTTACACCTATTACCTGGATATCAAATTAGAGACAGAGTGGCACTAACATTCATTCAGACACACGATATGCCACTGCCACAGCGTTGAGTTGGGCAAAACACCTGTCTGTTTCCTCCTTTTCTTGTGAACAAAACATTCCGTGCGGGGTTCAATACACAATATAAGTCAAATTAATCGCGAGATTGCATTTGATGGTTCTAAAAAAATTCGGTCAAAGTCCAAAAAGGGGGCAGATAAAGTTGAACGTTCGACGTTTAAATGCCCGGCTTCCCCTTAAATCAAGTTATGCCGATCTAGTGCAAGACCCATCGGAATCGAGGAAAAAGGAAATCGATCGATCGTGGGATATCGGATCTAAGGAGTTCGTGATATACCACATATGGGTACATCGTGCTCCGTCCAGTGTGTCGCACAAAGTACGGACAATGGAGTACAACATTTGACGTTGAAGGAGTCGAGAACTCCACAGTGGTTTCCAAGGTCGAACGTGAAAGATAGGTATACTAGTGTGTGCAATTTGCCCCTGAGAGTAGTGAACAGAGTACGATATAAGTTGTATGGATACTCCGTAGTACCATTTGTTGTACGGAGTATCTAGGTCAGCATTTATGAAGTGACCACACATTACTCTGCACTGCGCAAATGAATACGAGATCCATTTAAGACGTGTGCTTTTTCCTTGTCTCTTGAATCCAAGGCTCCATACCGGGTTGTTCACACTTTGCTTCCTTCAAATAACCAGAGCCCGGCCAAACGGTGGTGTTCGGTTCGTGCGCTAAGTAGACGGCTTATGGTCTGGCGATCACCTCGCCGTACCAATTACCGGCTCGCGCGGAAATTGGGAGCTCCATCGCATGCCACAATTCAAGCCCCGAATCCACTATCGCTCTCTCTTGTTCGACGTAATTAGACATTGGAGCCCCTCGGTGAATCGTTGATTGGCGCACAACCGCTGGTGGATGCCACAGGGAAATCACCAGAACAAATTATCGTCTTTCACCCAATATAGATCCTGTCAAAAAAACTTCATGTGGATCACAGCCTCGGATGGGGCAGCTCTTAAGCTCTCAGCCTATGATGCAGCCTGACAGTTTCCTGAGAGCAAGGAAATTTCCACTCGCCGCAGGATCGACCCATTCCGATGGAGCTCTGGACCTCTTAAAGCAGTGTTTTGGGTAAAGGAAATCCCCCAAAAGGGTCTCGAAAAGGAGAAAAAGACTGGAGATGCAATTTCCGAAGAAGAGTGCTGAAACCCCCCCCCCCCCAAAACCAAAGAAAAGGGCAGTGTGCGGATCTTCTTAACCTTTTAGCGTTGGGACCGGCCTCATCTCAGGATCATGGAGAAGGGTCATTTCCCCTGACCGAGGCACAAGACCGGTGATCTGCACTCTGCTTTGACAATTTGGAGCCCTAGTCAACTCCGTACTCCGTACTTTGGGGGGCTTTGTGACTTGACTTTATTCTTTCTCTCGTTTTTCAACTGTGGTTTGACACCTGAAGCGTGTGACGGCCTTCAATTCTTCGAGCTTGGATACTATGAGATCAACCTCAAATCTTTATGACCGCTGATCTCGTCGCTACCTTGACCATTACCTTGACACCATTTTATTCTATTCCCCCCCCTTGTCGATACTGCCACTACCCTTCGTTTTCCAACTGCGCGTCTGTTTTGGGGTTGATATCTACTTCAAATCTTCAAAATGGTTGGGTTGAAGAAACTATTGTCGGCGGAGAAGGCTCTTTCTCGTCCGGCAATCAGCCTGGGACCCGAGGACTGTGGCGCAGATCAACCCTACTTTCACATGGCGGTTGACTCGCCGACACAAAGTCACTTCGAGGGTGGTTTCCCGTCCGGAGACTCGCAGTCACTAAATGTGGCCCATCATTTTGATCAGATTGAGAAGCAATTCGAAGATCTACATGATCAACTGGGACGGTCGACATCTTCCAAGTCCCAAGTGTGGCCTGGTAGCTCCCATTTCGCGCCCAAACCTAAAAATGGCCGGCATATCGACTTGATGGATGCTCTGTTCTCTACGGAGCATTATCAAACGACCGCCTCGGAACCACTTTCGCCACCTGTCAGCCCATACAACGAAGATGTTGCGGAACGAAACATGACCCGGTTTATACGGATCCAATACCGGAATGGACTTGCCAAGTCGGGTATACTTTCGGCCCTATACCAAGAGGATGTGGCCGACAGAAACATTGTGAAATATAGCAGCCCTGGTCGCTCTTTGTCTCACTTGGGCTCTCGGTCTTCGCCAGCTGCGCCCGGTGGAGTGCGGATTCCAGAAAGCCAACGTCGCAATGCCAGGAAGCGATTTCCTGGTAAGCCAAGCTGGGCGTCAGCAGAAAATCTACGAACAAAGCTCTCCCCAGAGAATGGTTCGGGCAATTTATCTCCACGATCGCAGTCCCACCTTGGCAATTGCCTGAGACCACAGAGATCAGCGCCGAGCCTCACTGCAGACGAAGACTTTGTCCCAGAAGAAGATGCACCCCCAGCTTCTGTTCAGTGCTTAGGTGTTCCTCCTGCCTATAAACAAGGAAGAAGGTGGAGCAACACACCTCTGCCTGATAGCCCTACAATTCCTATCCCCATGGGTAATCGTAACAGCACCACCGAGACTCCTGCGGTGCGACCACCTGATACAATAGTTCGCAGCACACAAAGATCGCTCTTTCCGGTACAGTCACGAGAGCCAAGCTCCAAAAAGAATGCGCGAGGTCTCTCAATCAATACACAGTTAGCTACTCAAGGACGCCCCAAAAATGCGCACCGTGCCATTCGGCCGCCAACACCCTCCACCAGCGAATTGAAGCGGGCTCCCAGCATCGCAGAAGTGATGGACAGTCCCCTGCCAGTTTCCACCCCAATCAGTCTCACAGAATCATGTTCGCGCTTTAAAGCCTCAGACGTGATGGACTTTTTAACTAAGGCTTGTAAATCCATTCAGAGCTTCCACCCAACACACGAGACACTGCAGGACGCCATAGTCCGCGATGTCAATTCCCACGAGGCATTCCGCCGAGTCCCCGTGCCCTCCCCAGGGCCTCCATTCACGCCCGTGTCGGACCAAGACGAGTTCAGCAACGAATTCCGACCAGCAAACTCACTCCACCGAAGCCGCTCAGCGAAGAGCCGGCTCATGAATAAGAGCTCATCCAAGCACAAAAGTAACCCCGAAACCCGCCGTAGCATCTCAACAAGCGTGAGCTACGACCGCCTCCTACGAAAAGTCTCGGGCGCCTCCGCTCGCCGCCGACACACGGACGCCCCAGCCCCAACCCCAGGCTTCCTGGCCGAAATCCAAGCCCAAAAAGAGCCCGTCATCACTCGTGCCGGATCTAAAGAGCCAATCACCTACTTGGACGTGCTGCACGCCAGCAGTGGACAGCAACCTATCTCAACCGGCAGCTGCGCAAGCCACTCTGCATCTCACAAACGAGGACACTCGGAATCCGTCGGCAACCTCGCCGCTATGGCCTGCTCGCGCCCTGTTGTGTCTTTTGTCCCCGGGACCGTCCACCGCATGCAAGCTCACTCGGCTCCTTCGAGCAATTCCTCGCATGAAGACAGTGACGATGAAATCATTGAACTTCCTAACCCGAGTCCCACGCCGCGTGTGCAGATCGAAGGTGTCGACGAGAAAAACATCCGCTATATCATCGATGCTGCTTCGCCGGATGAGGCGCAGAAACTTTTGCATTGGCCCCAGCAGTTTCGCCGTGGCCGTGCCTCCAGTCCTTACGGGAGTAGTCTTTCTCCGTTGTCTCGTGCTCGTATGCAGCTTCGAGGTTTGCGCTCAGTTGACTGACTAGTATCTCAACGTTCTTTTGGGACGATTCGCCGACTCAGCCGGGAATGTTTATATTTTACCGCATGATAACGATCCTCTCATGACTTTCTTCCTCTTGCTCGCCTTCTTGGTTCCTCCAATAGAGCCCTTCAATCCTTTCCAGTCTTTTCTTTTCCCCTTGGCCATGTTGAACTACGCTTCAATGTGGCATTTGTCAATTCTTTTCTCTGTCACGCTCATACACTTTGTATCCATTTAGATCGCCTTTAATATCCCTGTTTTATCTCACCCTTTCTCATTTTGTTTTGTATCTCCGACCCTGCTATCCAACTATTCTCTTCTCTTGTATCAATATCACGCTTGCATTTGGTCGGAGATACTGTAATTATTATCAGCATTGTATATTAAAGCTGCGTGGTGACGGCTCTATCCTGTGTTTATGTATCAATATCATGCTACTCGCTCTTCAGACAGCTGTCTATTTCCTCAAAAAATTAGCACTCTGAAGTTGGTTAGATTACCTCCTAGTTCTATACGTACTTTGATAAATTCACACCATAATATTCACTACATTGATCTCTTTGTTGCTTCTTGGTTATCGTCGGGCATGGAGGCTCCGCGTTTTGCCCTCAGTGATCGGAACTAAGATCCGCTAGGGGGGACATCTAGCGCTATTTGTGTGCTATTTAGGATTAGCTCGATTCTAGTTTACGGGGTTGCGGATATCAAAAACCGCACAGACACGACATGGACAGAGGAAACGAGATCTTAAAAAATAAATACTAATGACATGTCTCATTTTCATTATATCATTGCCACTACGGAGTACCTGCCCTTTCCCCTTAAACTCCACATTGACAAATCAACATATTGAAGGGACGCCTTGGAATCCACAGAAGAAAATGCCGTATAGTCTGATACTTCAACCTTGTTTCACTGTGCACTGGAAAGCAATGCCTTCAGTACTCGCCAGTAATGACCACCAGTGCTTCAGAATGCATGGTGATTTTACCGGCAGCAGATGAAAGACCTGATATGAATGCAACGTAGCAGCTTAATAAGAGCCTATATCGAGTTAGTTAGTGTTTTGTCGGGAGTCATAAGAGGGGAGAAACAGGGAGTTAGAAACTTACGGCCAAACATGCACCATTTCTCAGCAAGACGCTGGCACTTGGGGTTGCAGCAGGGAGTGACACCTTGCTCAAGACCCTCGGGCTGCTCGAAAGGAATGCACAGAGATTTGGCACCCATGCTGGGGGCCTTGGCATCCTCAGCTTCACCGGAGTCTTCCTCAGCCTTACGGGCACTCATGTCCTTGATCTGGTCCTCGCACTCCTCGGTCAAGCAGTGGGGAATGACGCAAATGTTCTTGTTGTTCAGAGCAGGAACAAAGTCATCCCACTTGGTGATCTTGATGCGATGAGCCTTGAACTGCTCATCAGCGCGTTTGTACAGGTCAGACTGGATGGTCTCAAGGAGAGCAGGAACGCCAGTAGCCAGCTCGGAGATTGGGATGCTGCCCTTGCCATCCTTGCCGGGGATATCACGGCGGGCGGTGGTAACAAAGTGGCCGGCAGACTCGCCGGGGCCGAACTCAATGCGCAGAGGCACACCGCGGAGCTCGTACTGGTTGAACTTCCAGCCGGGGGAGTAGCTGCTCTTGTCGCTGTCGGCACGGACACCGGCAGCGACGAGGACGGCGACGAGACCGTCGACCTCAGCATTAAGCTTCTCGCGCTCCTCTTCGGTGGTCTTGGCAGTGAGACCGACTGGGACAATAATAACCTGGACCTCAGCCACACGAGGAGGCAGGACCAGACCCTTGTTGTCACTGTGAATCATGACCATGACACCTAGTGAGCGGGTGGACAAACCCCAGGAGTTCTGCCAGACGTGCAGAGGGGGCTTCTTCTCATCGATTGTAGCGGTGGGATCCTCAACAGTGATGCCGAACATCTTGCTAAAGTTCTGGCCCAATCCGTGAGATGTACCGCCCTGAATACCACGGCCAGTGGCGGGAATGTAGCCTTCGACAGTGGTGGTGTAATTACCGCCAGCGAACTTCTCCTTCTCGGTCTTCTGGCCCTTGACGACAGGCACGGCAAGAAGTTCCTTGTAAATCTTGGCGTAGTAGTCAAGGATGCTCAGAACTTCCTCGCGGGCGGCACCTTCAGTCAGGTGAGCGGTGTGACCTCTGCACATTGTTAGCATGTCAGTTTTAAACCGAAAATAGGGTCGTAAACATACTCTTGCCAAAGGAACTCTCGTGACCGGAGGAGTGGTTGGGGGTGCTTGAACTCCCATCTCACTGTTGATGTTAGTAACATTTCAAGAGCATGGAGACAGAACGGAGGCCGCACCGACAGAGTTCCACTGGTTGAGACGAAGAGGGAGATCACGGTGACTGCGAATCCACTTGGCATAGTAGGGGTACATGACAGTCTCAGAAGTAGGGCGAATGGCAATCTTCTTCTCGAGGGGGGTCGAACCACTATAAGTATCTGTTAGTGCAGTTCAGCGGTAGTATGCGAAGGTATTACAAGGTTGGGGGACGGCGTACGCATGCGTGACCCAGGCGACTTCAGCGGCAAAGCCCTCGATGTGGTCCTTCTCCCGCTGCAGGACATCCTCGGACACGAACAGAGGGAAAGAGCAGTTCTTGACACCCATTCCCTTAATGGCTTTGTTGAAGTATTCCTGGATCTGCTCCCAGATGAAGAACAACGCAGGTTTGAGAATAAAGCAACCGGAGACATCATAGTAGTCCAGCAAATCACCCTTGGTGAGAACCTGCTGGTACCAGCCGGAGAAGTCCTCCTCTTTCAAGACATCAATGCCAATCAAAGCAGCACCATCAACCTTCTTCTTAGAAGATTTCTTGGCCTCTTGCTTGCCAATGCCCTTCTCTCCCTTGTTCGAGGCCTTCTTATCGGCCTTATCCGCCTTCAGTTTCGCGAGCTTCGCGGCTTTTTTGGCGGCGTTTTTTGACTCACCCGCCTCGCCATCAGCGGGGGCTTGAGTGCGGTCAGGCAGGGTCTGGGGGGCAGTGCCCTCGAAGGCGGGGGTATCGCTGGGGTTCTGGCTAGCCATATTGAACAAGCAAGTGTCTGACTAGACAATGAAAGGGAAACCCAAGACGGAAAAAGGATTGGAAGCAAGCGAAATCGGAGTATGACTCCCTCCGTAAAGTGGGATGCGATATCGAAAATTACTAGCACACCGCCCCGGCAGAACTTTTAGTGCCCACAGCACCCCCCCCCCGAAGCCAGACAGCTCTGCCATCGCACTCGAACAGCTCATATTACATCGTCTGTTTTAAATATGGCAGGCATTTTTGAGGCGCCGCGGAATGCGGATACGCTCTGTAGGTTTTAATCTGATTGATTATCGTTTCCGTTGCAATAAACTGACCAGTCTCGCACAGTCTTGGGTGGGCAGAAAATCACCGGTGCTGATGTCCGTGAGCAAAATGGTATGTTGAATTCATGATCTATTTGTCTTCGTTAGGGTTTGGTAGCTGATTCCTTGCAGTTCTGGCAACACAGGCGATCGCCAATGTCATCAAATCCTCCTTCGGCCCGTCTGGTTTGGACAAAATGATGGTGGACGACATAGGGGTACGGAAACGATAAACTCCGCAGAGTTTGGTTGCAGCTTCTAATATCTGACAGGATGTGACTGTGACGAACGATGGCGCTACCATTCTGTCTCTCCTCGACATTGAGCACCCTGCGGGCAAGATCCTCGTTGATCTGGCTCAACAACAGGACAAGGAGGTACACGGCTCTACAACACATAAATTACAGTCACACACGCTGATAAAACGAATTAAAATAGGTCGGAGACGGTACCACCTCAGTTGTTCTGATCGCCGCTGAGCTTCTCCGGAGAGGTAATGAGTTGATGAAGAACCGCATACACCCTACCACGATCATCAACGGATACCGACTTGCTCTGCGCGAAGCCGTCAAGTATATGAATGAAAATGTTACAACTAAGGTGGATAATATCGGAAAGGAAAGCTTGGTCAACATTGCGAAGACTTCCATGTCCAGCAAGATCATCGGTTCCGATTCCGATTTCTTTGCGAACATGTGTGTAGACGCAATGCTGCAGGTGAAGTCTGTGAACCAGAGAGGCGAGGTCAAATACCCAGTCAAGGCCGTGAACCTTCTTAAGGCCCACGGAAAGAGTGGCAACGAGTCCGTACTCGTGGACGGCTACGCGTTGAACTGCACTGTTGCTTCCCAGGCCATGACAACCCACGTTGCGGATGCGAAGATCGCCATTCTCGACATGAACCTGCAGAAGGAGCGGATGAAGCTTGGTGTTCAGATTACAGTGGAAGACCCCGATCAATTGGAGAAAATCCGTCAACGGGAGTCCGGCATTGTTATGGAGCGTGTTGATATGATCCTGAAGTCTGGAGCCAATGTCGTCCTCACGACTAAGGGTATCGACGATATGGTTCTCAAGCTCTTCGTTGAGAAGGGAGCCATGGCTGTCCGTCGTTGCAAGAAGGAGGACCTGCGCCGCATTGCTAGGGCCACCGGTGCTACCATGGTCAGCACTCTCTCTGATCTCAATGGAGATGAGAAGTTCGATGCATCAAACCTTGGACACGCAGAGTCGGTTTCGCAAGAACGTATCTCGGACGACGAATGTATCCTGATCAGGGGTACCAAGATCCACACTGCGGCTTCCATTATTCTCCGTGGTGCCAACGAGTACAGCTTGGACGAGATGGAGCGCTCTGTTCACGACACTCTCTGTGCCATCAAGCGCACTTTGGAGAGCGGAAGTATTGTTCCTGGTGGTGGTGCCGTGGAAACCGCACTTCACATCTACCTCGAAGAATTTGCAGTCACAGTTGTAAGTAGCATTGTTCGCTCTTCTTTTCTTTTATATCGGTGTCTAACATTTTCATTACAGGGTTCCCGTGAGCAACTGGCCATTGGCGAGTTCGCACAGTCTCTTCTTGTCATCCCCAAGACTCTGGCAGTCAACGCAGCTAAGGATTCATCTGAGCTCGTTGCTCAGCTTCGTGTCCGCCACGCCCTGTCACAGCGTGTGCAGGACGGGGATGCTAACGAGGAGGAGAAGGCGATTGCCAAGAAGAAGACTTACCGCAACTACGGTTTGGATCTGACAAAGGGACGGGTTCACGACACTCTGAAGGCCGGTGTCCTGGAGCCCAGCATGAGCAAGATCAAGCAGCTCAAGAGTGCTGTGGAGGCTTGCATATCCATCATGCGCATTGACACGATCATCAAGCTGGACCCCGAACAGCCGCAGGATGATGGCCACGGCCACTAAGCCTGATCTCATTTTGACTACCCCAAACCCCAAAAAAGGCAGTAATATGATGTGACATAGATGATCAGCAGTAGTAAATTCTCATTTCTGCTGCAACTGCATATGAACCAATTAATTTCAAAGTAGATACATGAAATCCGTAGCCCTGAACATCCATTCTACTAGATCTACATCTCTCACTGCCGCTTGGCGGCCATCAGCTTCCGGTATTCCTCGACGATATTCCTCCGCTCACCAGCCAACTCCTCACGACGTCTCAAACTTCCAACCGCAGCAGGCACATTGGCAACATCAACCTTAGCCCCACCACGCACCTTAAAGATCTCCCGGGGTTTAACCAACTGAGGCGGCGCCTTCGCAACCTCAAACGGATTCTTCTTCCGCTCCTCATCGCGCTTCTTCAGCTTGGCCCAAGGGTCGGGATCATCATCTCCACTATCATCGGCATTCGTCCCCTTCTTCTTGTTTTTCTTTGAAGCGGCCTTCTTCTTCCCGCCGGCAGCCTCAATCTCCCACTCCTTCCACTGCCGCAACTCAGCCTCCATATCATCCTCCCGCTCTTCCCGCTCCTCCTGCTCTCTCTCCCGGATCCTAGCGTCCTCCTCACGCCACCCCTTCTGCAGTCGCAGCAGATGCTTCTCATGCTTCGTCCGCTTGTGCTGCTCCTTGTTCTTAGCATCGCCAGTCTTAACCGACTTGGTCATCTGCGACAATGGCATTTCGCGGTCAACACGTGCTACAAATTCGGCTAGCCTCTCGCCAGGCATGATCTTGGGCATTTCAGTCTTCTCCATGGCAGCGGGTTTGGGGTTTTGCGTTTCCGCGGGCTTCTTCGATGACGTCGTTGCGTCTTCTGTGGCATTGCGCTTGCGCTTGTTCGGGCGCTCGCCCGTCTCTAGTCCTGATGGTGCCCGTCGCCCTGTCTGCTGGTATTGCATCAGGCGGCGGAATGCTCTCGGGGTGTCGTCTTCGGTGACATTCTTGAGGCGGTGGGTGGGTGCTTTGTTGGCGCTTTGGTTTTGGTCTTTGCCTTGGTTCTTGAGCTTTTTGCCATTCTTGCCTAGCTTGGGCTTGACTAGATCACGGACTGGAAGTGCTTTTGCGATCTCTGAGGGTGGGAGATCGAAGTGGCTGACACGAAGGAAGTCGTTAGTTTTGGGCATTGAAAAGATATATTGTATTTCCAGTGCTCACGCTTTGTCGGCTTCGCCGCGTCTCTTGTGTTTGTGAGGCATTTTTGGGTGGTTTTGCAGTGGAAGATTGGAGGATTGGCGTTGTTGGCGGAACTTTTTTCATTGAGGTTGGCCTTATCTTATCGCTTCACATGGGCGACCTCGGGCAAGTCTACTTCAAATTCGCTTTTGAAAGTATCAGTTTAATAGCCCATTCTAGAGGAAATCTATTACAGCATTGGACTCGATGAATGAGGGATATTTTTGATTCAGTCAGATAGTACAAATAGGCCCGAAAAAAAGGGTATGCTACGCCAGTTAATATGCCCTTCCTAAACGCCAGTAAGATGCCCACAGGCAAAAAAAGAATAGAAACATTCAGACACCTCGGAAAATGAAAAACAATTAAAAAAAACACAGCAGACGCCAGGGAATCATTCGTCTTCGTCATCAATTGAGTCTTTCATATCAGCCCAGCCACACATCCAGCGTTTGCCCTCAGCTTCACCACCGTTTCGAAGCTCGCGAGCCTCAGATCCCTCACGCCAGCACCGAGCGGAGTAGTCATCACTTACAGTAACAAGTTCGCCAGATGGGGTCCAGGACAGACCAGTGACCTCTTTCTGATGACCTTCAATAAGAGGAGTGCCTGATTGGTGGATTGGGATGGTATCCTCGAGACGCCCAGACAGGCCGATTCCAGAGTTGGTGCGACGAAGTGCTGAGCGGGTAGGGAAGAGGGAAGTTCTGCTAGGCAGAGATTCGGCTGGTTTTATAACGGGAGAAGTGAGGTACCTTTCATCGGTAGGGAAAAGAATGGGGCAGTGATCGCTGCTCCCAGTAGCCAGCATCTCTGGATGATCGTGGTTTGCTTTGCGCACGGCTAACTTTACATAGAATGAGGAAATTTGGAGGCGAGGGTGGCGGAATCCATAGAGAGGCCCAAGACCGTCCTTGTCGGAGCCTCCAGTCCTTCGAGAACGGTTGTTATTGAGTGAAAGTTCAGGCGCATGCCCAAGAATTAAGTGAGATGTCGAATATGCGTAAATGGTGTTGTCTCGGCAAAGTGTGTACAATCGAGAGCCATCTCCTCCAAATGCCATAGAAGTCAGGCCAAAGCGTCGATACTTCACATGGCTTTCTGGCTCTTGTGTTGTAGATAGAGGGATGACGGGTCGACCACGACGATTGTTATGTGCTGTTCGCAAGTCCCAAAGTCTGACACTTGCACTAGCCTCAGAAGCCGTAACAAAAAGATTTTCGCGGCCAGGCGAGAGAAAAGCGAGGGAAGTGACGGTAATATCGGTCCGACCAATTGGTAGCGTATCGTTTTTATCCATGGTGGGTTTATGAGAGGTTGTATATGCATGGGCGCCTTCAATGGTATTCAGAACGTGTGGGTATAACATCTTTCGAGGTGCAGTGGTCGCGGCGTTTTCGGTTTCAGATTCCAGGGAGCATTGGACTTGCAACGCAGGCCGTTCAAATCCTTTGCAGCGGAGATCCCAAATATTGACATTTCCATCCCGACTGCACGTAGCAAGAACCTTGTTGTTTGACGCCGGTTGGAATTGGACGCGCTTAACGGAGGATGAGTGATTTGATAGGCAGTGGATGGGTCGTTGTGTTGTCATATCAATGATAAGAGACGTTTGGTCGCCAGATGCCGTAGCCAGTAGCATGTCGTCCGATGAGAACTCGAGGTCCATGATCGAATTCATGTGTGGACGGAAACCAAGGTATGCGTTGCAGAACCCGGCATCCTCATCCATCGATGAATCCAAGAGCCGAATTCCACCCTCTTCATCGCCCACTGCAACTAGAGAATTTGCTTCCCATTTGTTAGCAAGTATGGGGAGCGGTTAATTACAACATGACTTACTGTTGCATGAGGCATTACAGAATGGGAGGGCCACTGAACCCTCCGATGCGTAGCTACTACACATGTGACGATCTTGGGATAAGGAATAGAAGTTTGAAGTAAGATCTTGCCAGCCTAGAGAGGAGATTAGAGGTATACGACTAAACCATGGGATGAATACTAACCAACGCCAGAGTTAGATCGTAGGGTCACTTTATTTGCCCGAGCCCCCCCCCACAGTTCGCATAAACAAAGCACCAGGTGATTGCAATGCCTGGGAGCGGCGCACAGGGGCCACGGGTATTTTTCGCTTGGGTGGACTCGGCGGGGCTAATGCACCAGGACGGATGTCGATGTTTGGACTTTTAAGATCTTGTTCCACATCCTGCATCGGAGATCGGACACGAACTCTCTTCAGAGGCGAGGATTGCGGGGAAACGACTGAGGAGAATGAATTTTTTCTTTTTCTGCTCGGAGTACGAATAAAGTCTTCTGGTAAGCCATCGTAAGGGCTTCTGGTACTGCCAGCCTTGGAAGTTCTCGAAAAGGCTGGTCCCAGACGATTTACCGCAGGCGATGTTAATGCCCGTAATGCCTGGCGGCTGGTTGAGGGTGTGATAGAAATATCCCCAGTTGGTAGTAAAGAACGCGGGGTAAAGAATCGACGGAATGACCGAGGCGTTACAGTGGGTGGCTTTCTGGTTCTGCGAGTATCGGAAGCAGTAGACGGCGGGGATGAGGGAGGCTCTGGAGGAGGAAAAAGAGGCTCCGACCTGGGTACCTCCGGGAGATTGGAGATGTCCATTGTGCGTTTAACAAAAAAGCAGAAAGGAAAAAAAAAGAGCTATGGATGCATGGGTGGAGGTCTGGACGGGCTGTCTAAAGAGGATCGGAGATGAATCGGGGAAGTAGGATCTTTTTTCGTGTCGCGACGTGACGCGATCGTGTCAAGGCAAGGCATTTTACCCACCTCTCCCTCCACTTTCAATGTCGTCTGGGACTCCTTCAATACAAACTATTCCTCCCTCAACGGCTACCTAGCGCCTAAATTGGCTTGGAATAATTCCTTGGCTCAAATCTTTTGGGATTTTTATCTCAAAACGTATCTGGACAATCTTGATGTCAACACCATTCAACTACATTATATGCTAAATTACCTATTCATGGAACATAAAGAACATCAGACATTTCACCTGGCTTACAAATTGAAATGGCCTATAGTGCTCTTAAGCAAGCAGCCCAACAATTTTCATTTAGTGTACATAGGGTACTCCCAGACAGGCTTCTAACTTGCCCAAATCCGGCCCCGAGGTAAAAATAGCAGATTATGTAATGCGGTGGTTTTGGGTCGAGACGAGGGTCACCTTTCACCTATCAAAAGTGTAGATGGTGTCGAAGAGGAGAAGAAGCTTCTTGTAACACAGAATAAGAGTCTGGGAAGGATGACTGTTTCTCGAGGCAAGGGCATACAATATACACCTTATATGCACTATTCCTCAGTGTGGGATGGAACTTCGATGAGAGCAGACGTAGCTTGTTCCACGAACGTTCTCCCTTTCTTAGAGAATTCCTTAATGCTAGGCTCTTATTTGTTTGACTCCGATTGGGACCGGGAGGACTAATCTTCAGGGCTTGTGATAGTCTTACAAGAGGAGGTGAAAAAAATACATAGATGATAAAGTTGACGTGACGCCGTATTGACCAAAGATCCCTAGCGGAAGATTCCAAGCCTTGACCTTGTCCAAATTCACAAATGATTCTAGCTCGTAGGCCATGAATTGACCAGCAATGAAGGGATTGGTGGCCTTCTGTTCGCCGATTTCCTCGTCTGACATTTAGACAATGCTCATCTCCCTTCCAGTGTCTCGGGATAAAGAGTGGATTACGGTGTCGACCCCCAAAACTCCGAATCGACCTCAATGTCTTGGTGATTGAACTTGACAGGATCGAAGACTGCTGCTGCTGCAAACTGGACGATGTGGTTGTGAGCAACAATGGGCAACAAAGTTTCCGGAGCGAAAGCAGTGGCTAATGCACCGGTTTCCGTGAAGCCCTGGTACATCATTGTCTTTGGGAACAAGAAGTTGTTCAGGAAGCTCCCCGGGCGCAAAATTGTCCAGCTTTTGAATCCCGCTTTGCCAAATATATCTTCAATAGCCGATTTGTCGAGCATCTTGGTGCTTATGATGCTGGTCGGATCCCATGATTTGAGGTGTCGGGGATCATTGGCAGACAAGGCACTAGCGTAAAATACTAATTTGATGCCAGCTTCCTTGGCAGTTTTGAGAAGTCGGCACGTTTGTTCGAAACTTGTGTTAAAATCTGTCAACGCTGGCATCAAGTCTAGGAAAAGGGTTGTGCAATTGGCCACGGGCCTTCTGAGGGGATCAGTGTTGTCAAGATTGCCTTTCGTGATGATTACACCAAGTGATTTGAGATAATGAGCAGCAGCCGAGTCAGGGGTGCACGTAATGGCATGTATTTTGACATCAGTTTTGAGCAGATGGTCGACCAATGCGCCGCCCTGAGTACCGGTGGCGCCGCAGACGAATATGGGCGGAGAAGACGTTTGAAATTCGAAGAGTATGGTGAGGCCTTTAGCTTGCAAGTTCTACATTGAATTTGTGCTACATTATGTACCACACTATGTCCACGTTGACAGTTGACACTTTTATGCATATAGAACTCCACTCGGTTCGCCACTGTATCCAGGAGCGACTTTTGATTGGTGAACCAAAGCCTCACTGACGGAGTTCCGCCCCAGACCCACTAACAGGCCTGGAACATCTCTCTTCCTCCACCTTTCCTTCGAGAAGCAGAAGTCTCTAAGAGGTGAAGATGCTTCTCACTGAAGCTCAAAGCACAGCTTCGCGGTGGAAGTCTCGTAAGGCGTGCAAATCAGCCAAATAGCGATGCGACCTATCATTTCCAGTCTATTCAAGATGCATCCACAAAAGCATACCATGCTTTTACCCAGGAAGGCTACAACCCGAGCTGAAATTATTGCCGATATCCCGTCGTCTGCGAATAGTGACGAGATGATTAATACCAATTCCACTCAATACAATTGTGACTCTTAACTGTGATTACCCTGGTCAATATGGGCTCATTTCATTCTATTATGATCGACTCGCCCATCCGTCATGTCATTACAACTTCCACAGAAGCTCGTGCGAATATCTTCGAGGGGCTTTCCTCGTCGCAAAAGCTTGACTCCGCCATGACAAGAACGAGCTTCCCGAAGCAGCTCGCGGATGTATTAGCCAATCGACTATAATTCGCGGTGGGTATATTCCAGAATACCCCCAAAATGGGTAGTCACCAGGAACCAAACTCGATAGTGTCATCGTCAGCTTTTTTAAAAGTGGTATGCCAAAGGACATGTAAGGTTAGTTCACCGATGGTACTTTTTCATCCTCTGCAAGCCGTTGTGTGGTCACAATGCCGAGGTTTCCTCTACACAGGGCAATATTCACATGTATCAGGTCATCAAAGTTGGGAAATCTCATTAAGCCCCCTCGAGTGCTTTGGTATAATTTTGTATGTCTGGATGTCGAGGGGAGATCATTCGAAGAGATTGACTAGTTGTTCTGGAAGATACGAAATTCGCTGGATTGTAAGGCAGATATCATAGGATACCTAAAAAGCTAAAAGGTTGCTTAAGTCGACTAAACTGAGCATGTTGAAGTTCTGTAAGTGTTGCGTTTAGAAATGTGCTATAATTCCTAACATGTAGTTTGGTTGCTATGTTACGCCAATGATATATGTTTCTACCGATCATTCTTGTGTCTTCCTAAGATTTCTCGCAATTTTCTTAACATCCTGAAAGTTCTTTCAAATCTACTCCAAGATGATATTCTCACAAGATCAAAGTTGTCGTCACTCTTCTAGCAACTTGTTGCTTTCATACCATCATACTAAATCGCAGAAACCTTGGTTCGATGTGCAAGTCTTGGTCTCTTAGGCCTTAATCTCGCCATAGCTCTTACAGCGTTGTCCCAACGATCCTGTTCTAGGCTAAAGCCGAGTGTGTCCCTCATCAAATTCTCGGAATCACTCCTAGGAGGTTAGTCTTTGCCAACTTCGATTTTCCCGATTAGTTGAACTTTCGCAACCGTACATGCTAGCGAGCAATTCCGAACTTTTCCAATCTCATTCTTTCCATAATTCGGGCACTTGCAAGGTTTGTCATGCTAGCTAAAAAGTGGACTCGGCGTAATGCGATGCCGCCCTTGGTAGGTGATTTTTATTTGTAGTCTAGAGAGCAAGTCCCACTAATTTCCCTGGACAAATGCGTTAAAGATGTGCGGACAAAGCTCACTACACACCGGCTAGCTCACTTACTACGTCTTCGGCAGATAGCGGATGGGTCTTACTTTTGATAGTGAAAGCAAATGATTGTAGGTTGGAGAATTCCATGATGTGACTTGTAAATTACTACAAAACCATGGCTTTATAAGACGCCGAAGAATTTGTAGGGATCGAGCATATTCAGATGACCCTTAAGAGGTATCATCTTTTTTTGGCGATCGGGTGCGGGATTTTTAATGTTTGCAATTTAATTTGTAGGTATCTTAGTAGTAAACCAGGCATAAGGCGCATGAACAGTCCTATGGCGTAATATGAGTGTAAGACTGCTGCTCTAATGAAGTGACGCTAGGCTATCTTCCACGACCTCACCATCGTGACTATTATGGTGCCATGCACCTCCTCAGCCGATGTCAACCGCTACGCACTTTTGGAATCTTTAGATAGATGAATGGAATGGACAAAAAGAAACGAGGCGAATGTAGGCTACTGCTCTATCTTCGAAATTGCTTACAATCTATTTAAAACGATCTTGAGGTTAATGCGTACAAGCGCTAAGTCTTAATCAAGACAAGCATCAGAAACGCCTTTAGGTATTTGGATGATGCCATTCCGCCCCCATATCAATGTCTACAAGAATGCTCAATAGATTGCAGAGCGAAAAGGAAGTCTTCCTAGCAATAGTGCAGAAGTACACCGATAAAATCGTTTCACATTTCTCTTAAAGGGAACCTTCATCCCTTGGCGTCACAGGCATAATTCCGCTTTCTCAATGTGCCTTTCATAGCAGACCTTATAGAAAGACCAAGACATGAGTACTCAAAAAGTCGCTAACACGAAGAACGCTACTAGCACCATTACTCCATTCGCAGAAATTGACCCCAAAGAAGAGAGGTCTTTGGTATTTCTATCACCCTTTTCCTATTCGTACAACTGTAATTCTGATTTGTTTAACACAGGTATGGCGCTTGGATATATTCTTCTTGACGATTGGCTTTCTGGGCTATACATTTAAATACTTAGATCAAACCAACATTGTAAGTTTCTTTGCAGCCCCGAGAAACATCCTTTCTGATGGCCCATCAGAGCAATGCCTATGTTTCTGGAATGGAAACTGATTTGGAACTTTATGGAAATGAGCTGAATTACTTTACCACTTTCTTCAAGTAAGTCGTCAGTGCTCTATTTATGGGACACTCTTCTTGACAGTAACAACAGCATTGGCTACATGATCATGCTTTATCCCTCATGCATCATTATTTCTCACATTGGACCTTCAATTTGGCTACCCACCTGCGAGGTAAGATTAAAATCAGTTTATGCTATTCAAAAAACGCTGAACGAAGTTTTCAGGTCATGTGGGGTATATTGACTTGCTGCTTATCCACGGTCACCAAAGCAAAACAGGTAGTGAAAACAGATCCATTCATTCCATCTCAATTGACGGTATCTCCTTTAGGTCTATGGCCTTCGCTTCCTTATCGGCTTTTTTGAAGGCGCAACTTGGCCAGGCTATTTTACCATTATCAGGTCAATTCTCCACAATGCTCTAAGAAGCACGCATGCTAACTCTGCGCTGTAGCCAATGGTATTTGCCTCATGAAATGGCTCTCCGAATGAGTCTTTACAACATTGCACAACCTGTTGGGGCTATGTTATCTGGCGCGATGCAAGGCGCACTTTCAACGAACCTGGAAGGTGCCCTTGGTCGAACCGGCTGGCGATGGGCATTTATCATCGATGTAAGCATAAAATTAGCGAGTTTCGATAGAATGGTACTAATTCTACAGGGGGTTTGCACTATCTTCATCGCCTTACTGGCCTTCACGCTTTTACCGGGCTTTGTACGAACCGACTTCTTGTCATCCCCTGTTTTGGACTGACAGGATATATCTAGCCGGACCGCCCAAACCCTCTTGCCAAATTTTATCTCAGGCCTCGCGATATCGGTATGGAAATACACTCTGAGATTTGCATTCAGCAAGGGTTTGCTAATATTCCATTGAAGCTGTCGCTGAAGCGCGAACTCGCAGGATAGGCCGTGATCCACAGATTGGAATTAACATCAAAACTTTCCTGCGCTGCTTCAAGTTTTGGCATATCTGGTTGTTTTCACGTGAGTCAATTCAGGATCTCGTTTGAAGGAGAGTCGGATGATCTAACCACGTTTTTTTCATAGTTGCTTGGTCTATCGGAACCAACACCACGCCTTCAAATTATTTTAAC